CAAGCTCAAATATGCCTTGCTAGTTAAATTTTTTCTCAATATTTCGTTTTTTCTCCCGGCTTGATTGTACAATCAAATTTATTGCCTCATATACTCAAACAAACCAAAAAAAAAAATCAACTTAGAGTTAAGCTGTGATTCAACAATTTATTCTCTATAGATATGTTTTTTTTATCAATATGTTCAATTGTGTTTTAACCTTGAACCCAGTTCAGCTTTTTGTTTTCAGACGACACCCCTTTTCATGAATGTTTTGATTGTTAGCTCAATTTGGCTTTGCCCGATAAATTGCAGGCTTAACAACAAAACAAATTAATTTGCAAATAACAGTTAATAAACATCCTTAATCATCGCCAGGATGTACATGACACGCTTTATTCGGTTTATAAACTAAATTGATATCCAAGTAACTTTTGAAAGAATAAAGGGTATCTGATGTTACATCTTGAGAATCTTGAGAAAATCTTGCATCGAACGATGGGTTAAGTATCGGAAGACAGTCTTTGCTCGTATATCTCTCGTGAGCCCGAAGTCCATCGTTCTTACTACTATGAATTTTTTCCGAAACATGTTTTTCCGGCACACTAGACAAAGTTCGTGTTTTTCATTTTCTTAAACCACATTGTTCACATTTTCAATCTCATTTATAGCTTTAATCACCACGATGCTGTTTGTCCCTATCACATCCACTGTATTTATTAACCGAGCATCGTCCTGGGTAAAAATAAATCGAAAAGGTAACAAACAATCTCAAAAAAGATAAACGAAAGTCTTTTGAAGGTATTTTTTTTTCATCTTACTCAGGAGTTTTCCTCGAAATTTTTTTGTTACAGTCGATTATCAGAGTAATTTTTAAAATCTGGGACGACAGAATTATTTCACAGCATTGTTTTGATTTTTAAGAAAATGGCTCGCAAACTATGGATTTTGTTTTTTAAAAAAAAAACAAGTGAAAAAGAAAGAAATTTTAGCTAAAAATTATCAAGGCCGATCAAATGATTTCTAAGCCAATAAAATGTATCTAAGTTCTTCATCATCCTTTTCTTGTTCTTCATGTTCATCATCTTGTTCTTCTTCATCTTTTTGTAGCTTATTGCACGAAACTGCACCTTTGCAAGAGCCTGTTGCAAATTTCCCGAGGGGCTCTGAAAAAAAAACGACGAGTTTGTTGTCTGTAATGACTACTGTATCAACAAAAAGACAACCATTGTGTAACTTTGCGTTGGATTAGCGAGATTGTTTGTTTTATTGTTTTTAACTTTTCCGTCATCTCATATGACTTTTTAAAATTATTAACCCATTAAATAATATTTTTAAATTTAACACATTACAATTTTTCTTGCAATTAACTGGGTTGAGCTGATCAAGTTATGTATTTGCTTTATGTGTTGACTCAAGTTGTACAATTCGGTCGACTCAAGCCATCTCTCGTTCATTTCTCGTTTACCTTTGAGGTTTTTCAAAAAACCGCATAAGAATTAAGATAGCGAACTGACGTTGAAGTTTTCGCCAAACCTTCAAAAAATTAGCCCATTTTTTCGGAAAAAAACGGTCGTATTTTGATACTCTAATGAATTCATGCTCCTTTTACCAGACCCACAGTTAGCCAAAAAACGGCACTATTTCACCAAGAATACTTAAATAATTGTATTAATAACGACGCCCACACAGGGCAATCTCGCATCGTGTAAATAACAATTTCTTCAACTTTCTCAGCAGAATAGACTTTTTTTAGATATAAATACCGATTCATGCGCAGTAAACATCTCGCGAAGCGGCAAAAGCGGTCGCTACTTCAAACGACGCGGTTGCGATTTGCCTTTGTTTTGTCGTCTGGTATAAAAATCGGACAAGCAAAGGTTCAATCTGGTAACCTGAGTCCTTAGATATAAATTTTGGGTGATGCAAATGAGACGACAAGATACCTAGACGACTTTCGAAAATTTTGTTGACTTTTTTTAGGTCGACCAAATTGATTTTTTGAGCTCTTCTAAAGCAATAAAAAGGCCCAGTTGTGGTCAAATTTTCTGCGCCGCAAAAAACAGGTCAAAAAAGGCATTTTCAGGCACTTTTTGGTAAATGTTAACCAAAAAGTTGCGTTTTTTGGCGCGCGCTCGCCTCTCAAAATTAGTATATATTCGCGCCAAAGGCGCCTTAAGAAAAATTTCAGGGTCCGTCAAGAAAAATGAATATCTCAAAATAGCCTAAAGGGGGAACCCTTTGGGCCGGCAGGGGGTCAAATCCTTAAAAAAACGTCTCCCCCTAAATCCGCCCCTGTTTCAAAAGCTAGACTACCAACGCTGACTCAAAGTAACTTTTTTAAGGCGACTAGTGGTGATTTAAAAATATCCGGACAAACCGAATAAAAATTGAAGTTTAAAACGCGTTTTTCGCAAAACGGGTTGACTTAAGACAAAAAACAAAGAGGAGAAAACTTGCTTAGGTTTTAAGCAGAAAAACATAATGCAATTTGTTTTGCGAACTTTGGGTCTAAAATTAACTCCAAAATTGACCATTTTTGGCTTTTTAGTCAATCAAAAATTACGCCAATACTATTAATTCAATTGCTTACAAGTGTATTAAAGTATGCCTAACCTAACAACATATTAAAGGCATAATCTCCAAACTTTGGCGCAAAATCTCTAAAATGTTTTTAAATAAAAAGATACTATAAATTGTAAAATTGACATTTTCTGCTATCAAACCGAATAAATTTAGTTATAGAGAAGTGAGACGATTATAACCTTTTTAAATTTGGTAATGTTATGCAAGAGGCTCACTTTGATGCATGTTTGTCAGCAGTTGAACCAATAAAATTGGCGTAATTTTTGATTGACTAAAAAAACCGAGAAGGGTCATTTTTAGGGTTTAATTTTGGACCCGAATTTCACAAAACATTTGACACCCTATTAACTGTGCTGAAGTTCTAAGCAAGTTTTGTCTTCGTTTTTTCTGCTAAAAGCAACTCAGTTTGTGAAAAACGAGTTTGATTATGAGGACGAAACGAACAAATCTTGAAGTTTAAAACTCGTTTTTCTCAACCTGAGTTACTTTTGGCACAAAAAACGAAGAAGACAAATCATGCTTAGAACAAGATTTGTTTGTTTCATCCTCATAATCAAATTCAGTGCTGTAAAGTGCTAATTTTCCTTATGCGAACCAAACCAACAAAATTTGAAAATTAAAGCAGGTTTATCATAAATTGGGTTGAAAATAGCTGAAAAACGATGAAGACAAAACTACCCAAAATTTTACCCCCCCCCCAAAATGACTTTTTTTGGATTTTTAGTCAATTACGAACTACAGCAAAACTACTTAACCAATCACTGACACAAGAGGCCATCAAAAAGGGCATCTTAAGAAATCCAACAAACTCCAAGAAGGATAGATTTTCCAGAAAACACTGCGCAAAATCTTAAGAAATTGTTTTCAACCACTGAAGCCAAGCGGAATTTCGCATCCCTTGCGATACAAAACAAACATAATAAAATATTAGAACGTCAGTATAAAATGTTTTCAAGTCTTCTAAAAACAAAATGAACGAACGACACACTAATAAAAATGTGCTTTGAAAAAAAACTCACCTTAAAGTTTTGAACAAAAATAAATGGCCTCAAACCTCTTTGAATTTCTAGAACAATTGATAATAAGCACTTTTTTGATAAAATTAACCCAATTTGAGCAAACTGGTTCATTGGGTAAAGTTTTTATTCCGCTGGGAAAACTGATAACTAAATTCCATTTTCAAAATTAGAAGTTCAAGATCAGGTTTTTCGTGATTTTTAGATTCGATAGTGGAATTTGTCTTCCTTTTACCAGAAGAAATGAACTTGACTTAAAAAAAATCAAAAGTCAAACATCGAAAAACTAAATTTGAGCCTGAACAAATTTTAAGACTTCCAGAAAAAAAAAACAAATCCTTGAGACCTATAAAAGAGTCAGAACTAGGTGCGTCAAATTAGAAAAACTCGCATGGTCTCGGATTCGAACCATGAAAATTATCTTCGTTAATAAAGCAAGCTATCAAATGATTCAAGTGATTCGGCTAAACTAGTTGTTAACTAGAAAAAAATCTAAATTTGATAACGTTTGTTTATTGCAAGCATAATATAAATTTGGTGTTTTTCTTTAGTATGAACAACCATTTTTGTCTGTCAAAAGAAATGAAATAGTTAATACAATCTACACAATGTTTTCGAGATTCTAGCTTTCTCATAGTATGTTCGGCTACACAAGAGGCTCTTTTTGATGAAGTTAAGCCAGTGATTGATCAACTAGTTTTAGCGCAATTTTTGATTGACTAAAAAAAGCAAAAAAGGTCTATTTTTGGGATAAAGTTTTGGGACGTTATTTCGCAAATAAAAAAACGCCATATTAATTCTGCTGTTCTAAGCTAGTTGTGCAAAAACCCAATTTGAGAAAAACGCATTTAAAAGCTCACATTTAGAAATTTTTGTTGGGATATATTACAGCAGCAGCGTATTTTGGAACGTGAAATATCAAATTTCAACTAATATCAGCAAACAGGAATTGAGCATAAGTATGTTATGGCACGCTGACCTAAGTTTTTGAAATTCTGCGATTTCCTAATTCTCAGTAAGTTTTATGGAAAATTTTTGGTATTTGATTTTTTCTATTTTTAAGGAATGTAAAAAAAAATTGAACTCTAAGTTTCATCGAAAACAGACCTCGTCCTCAGAGCTGACTTCCTATTTGCTAAACACCTAATTCTAGGCGCCTGATAATGTTAAGGTTCAAAAGTAAAGCAATGAAAAGTTGTTTACGGGGAAAATCTTGTTCCGGATTACAAGACACTGCTCTCGCAGTGTAAAAAATCTGATGCAATTTCGGCTTGTAGACATGGCGGTTTGTTTAATATATTATCCGCCAGTAAATAGCATATGATCTAAATAAGTGAAAATAGCCATAGTTCGGCCTTTTTTACATCCTTCTTTTAGCACTGGTGTGCTGTTTAATAGTATCTATATCTCGAAAAAAGAAAACATTGAAGATTTTATTTTACAAATATGCATCTGGTGATCATTTATTTATGAGAAGAGAAACAACAAATAGCAGAAATGTGAAGTGAAACAAGTGATTATTCGGACTCTTATCAATATTCCATTGGCTGGCTTATTTGTTCATATTCATATAAATAGTTATACCGACATAATATTTAATTTATTAACTGCATCGGGGGACAGGGAGTACAACTTATCAACGCCAACTCACCAATCAAATTTAAATGTCAAATTTACCTTCATAAAACATTGGGGGAAATCAACTCACGGAAAAATAGTAGGACCGAAACTGAAATAGCACCTTTGCTAAATGCAGGACGTTGCGGCTTTGAAATGGATATTGAAAAGACCTCCTAAGCTGAATATATGTATGGTTTCAATTCATTCAAACGCTACTTATTACTCTAACAACATCTAAACTTTCATCGAACGCTCAACTAAATGATTAAGAACCAGAAAACGCCGTCACATGCAGAAATATTGACTTAAGTTGAAATATGACAATTTAACAAAAAGGTTGAGCAACTACTAATAATAATGGAGCGTCAATTGAAATCGAAACGAGGATAATACTTTTCGAATTAGTCTACTATAAAACTGAAGCATGCGACTTTTGAACAATTTTTCGGAAGCGCAAGATAGATTTTTTAAGCCAAAACCTTCGAGTTGTTCAAACGTCATTAAGGAATCAAATGAATTGCGTCAAATATCACATGGCATAATAGCTCACAAAGACAAGTTTGAGTACTGGATATAAAAGGGGTGAAACGGTTATATGAGTGGAGAACTAAACTTTCTCTTCAAACGATATATTGGCTCAATAATTACTTCAGCAACACTTAGCGAAGCACGTCTTCCAGGGGTCAAGGTTGATTTGAGATCTACATACACGTCAAGTGAACACATGCAAGGTTGTATTTAACCCAAAACTGTGTCGACGACTTGAAATCTTTACCATCTTATAAATTTGCACATTTTAGGGAATCAAATCACATCACGAAAAAAAAAACCAAAATACCACGAGTGAAGTTAAGAGCCAAACCACCTGTACTACTTCAACAACTTACTTTTATCTTACGAGATTAGTTTGAAATTCGATGATATACTTTTGAAACTTTTATTTAAGTTTGAATTTCTCAGTTTTCTCTGCGAAGAGCGGAGTTAATCATTTGACGTCTCCGAATATCAGTCAACAGCAATTGACATGTTCGTGTTGGGGTTTGTGGAGCCTTGGGAGGCGTTCGCCGAGTTATTTTCGACGCCTGCAGATGCCAAGAGAGTGGAGTTTTGGGGATTCGATCCAGGGACATGTTCGTTTGCAGTGGGGGCTGAGGACAATTCCGAGGACACCGGGACACCCATTTCCGAGGAATCATTATTAGAAACTACATCACCACCGACCATGTCGTGACTAAACATGTGGTTTACGTCTTTGTTTTCCATTCCATTGCTTTCCATCTTCGGTGGATTCTGCTTCATTCGACCATCTGGTCCCATCATGCAGGAATTAGGATCCGACATTTCTTGTTTGAAGTTCGAATTGAATCGAGTTGCAGGTGCCATTGAGTTCGGCACTGAGTACATATCTCGTCTGAACTGCGCAGGCTGCTGTTGGCCCATATTTCTCATCAAGTTGTTCGAATTTCCTCCGTAAGTCGTTACGCTCGACGGTATGAAATTCTGTGCAAATTTTCCCATTGTACCAGCCGTCGCACTCGAATTTCCCAAATCAGAGCTCCAGGGTCTCTGGTTGTTCGCACCCGGAGATCCTCGGTCGCCACTGTTCCTTTTCTGTAAAGTTGGATTTGTGTTTGAACTCATAGAATAGGAACCGCTCATAGACGAAGGCGGAAATATCCCAATTCCCGACATTCCTCCAATAGCTGTATTAACACGTGGTCTCGGGAAATGGTTATTCGGTCTTTGAATAGGAGGCGGTCTAGTTGACATTGAGTTGACCGGGTTGGAAAAATTTTGCCCAAAACCACCTCCAGGAGCCTGTGACTGCATCATATTTTGCTGCGCAACTGCATTTGAGCTGGTTCCTCCCATCTGAATCGAGTTCGGTCCTGTCTTGTGAAACGGACCTTGCGCAGAAGAGCCCACACCGAAATGCCCTGGATAGGAGGATCCCATGTTCAGCTTATGAGCTGCCTGAATCATTTCTGGTTTCGTGAATCCTGACAACATTTTGTTTCCCATAAATGAACTATTCCCATTGTGAAACCCCGAGTTAGCATTCATTTGCTGCTGTTGCATATTCGATCCATTTCCATTGTTAAACGACGACGAGCCTTGAAGAAAGTGAGTATTTCCTTTTGCAGCTCCGTAGCCAGCCAAGAATGCCTGCGATTGTTCTGGCTTGAAGGTTGCCGAGAAAGCGTCGCTCAGACCATACATCGAAAACTCATTTTTGAAGTCTCCAGGTTGTTGGTGACTTTGGGGCGACATCGCTTTTCCTCCTGGGTGTCCCTGGGCAGCTCCGAAAGCACCCAAACTCAATTCAAACGACTGCACTGGGTGTTGGGGACTAGGGAAGGTGGCGTTGTTGAGTCCCGGCTGTAGGGCATTGGAGTTCATCATGTGTCCATAGTTATTATGTTGCTGTGGATTCTGGCTTTGGGGTTGCATAAACGGATGCGAGTGGTTAGTTTGCTGGGGTCTGGGTCCCAATCCCATCATAGGACTGTATCCGAATGCGCTGAAGCTAGACTGAGCGGCCGCATTGGGTCCAAAGGAGTTTCCCATCTGGTTATACACAGTCTGTTGGTACGGCGAGTTAGCGGACTGACCTAATCCTGCTCCTAAAGGGTTGTTCTGAGATGGCTGATCTGGATACATTGCAAAATGACCATTGCTGTTCCATCCTCCTGCTCCAATGGAGTTATTATTGCTCTGATGTGGCTGTGGTGGAACAGTTCCAATGTTCTGCTGAGGTTTCTGTCCCATAAACGACTGATGTCCGATTTGAGATTGGCTCTGCTGCTGCTGTGCGGCGACAACTGCTGCTGCTTGTGCGTCTGTGAACGCGTTTCCAGTTTGCTGGTCGAAAAACGAACCAGAAGCCGCTGGGTTAATTGCATTAGAAGCTGTTCCATAGCCTCCTGGATACCCCAAAGCATCGTCAAAAAATGCAGCTTGCTGGCTCACCGACAGTCCATGCGCCATCAATGCCGAGTTACTCAAATGATTTGACATTTCCATGCTCGTTTGGAAATCCTGCAATCCTATTCCTCCCGGCGTGTTCAGACTAGCAGAGGGTGGAACTATCTGGGATCTCAAGTGACCCATGCTCGTATTCTGAGTGACTGGTTTCACTTTACAAATTCGACTCTGTTCCAAAGTGGTCGCGGAGCTAGGTGTGCCCTGAACTATGCCAAGAGACTTGCTGGCGATCACTAGCGATTCTCCGCTGCCTGCGATATTATTTATCATCGTTGCAGGAGCTGCTTGGGTCTGCACCATTGAGTTGGTAGGCGTCTCGTCTAAACCGTAATCATCATCTTTGTTGCTATCCCACATGAGTTTTTTGAACTGGTTCTCCATGTCGACCATTTTGATCGAGGAATCGTCCACCGATTCTCCCAGGTTGAGTGCGTCCGCGTGGCTGGCCATAGCTGCATCAACATTATTTGTGCCAGTGTCATTCACGTTCAGTTTATTGCCTTTGTTCTCGAAATCTTTCAGGAACTTGTTGTACTCATTTTGGTCGTTCTCATTCTAAAATTCAAATCAAAACCTTCAAAACTATGAAGCGAAAAAAACTTAAATAAACTACACTCACTTATAATAAAGCTGATGTAACCTGTTATATTTTACAAATACGACAGGCGTCTATTTAGAAGAGGGTGAACAATACTTACAAAAAACAGGGCGGAGTTGTCGTTGTTCAGGTTGGGGATGGAGGGCTGTTCGATTCTAGGTGGGGCGCCAGTCACTTCTGACCTGTCATTGGAACTTAAATTTGACTGTTGGTGAGAGACAGGAGACATTTCGGGCGGTTTCATCTGGGCACGCTGAAAATAAAAAACGGAATTCGAAAAATCTGAACAAAACCGCTTTATTTTCCCGACTATACACATCATTATAAAAAACATTTTTATTTGAACCATATTATCACAGAGGCACCGCTGAAAATCGCAGACACAAGCAACAAACATATAACTTACATCTGGAAAAAAGTCAGCGCATTAGAAAAAAAAAACAGAAAAGAACGACCGATTTTTTTATAGGGTCCTTAGCAAAGATAGGCTTTTAACAGCTATAAAGTAGGCCTAAAACTCACAGATGATTTGTTTATGAGTTTTCGAACTGTTTTGTAGCTGTTAAACTAAAAATAATACCACGTCCCTCGTTAACCTCTTAAAAAAGGAATGAAACAGCTCGCTCCAAAAGCGTCTTTCAGATTGCGGATGGCGCGACATTTGAAAGTTGTTGTTTGCTCAAAACCTGCATTTTCTCCTTGTGAAGTTTTCTGTTTACATAAACACCATATTGGTACACTTTAATGGAGCCCGGAAAAATCGCGGGTCGCATATCCTACGCGATAGTTATCTATTGCTACGGCGGTAAATTCCGACTAACGTGTACTCCAAAAAATTCTAAGAATAATCAATTTGAATTAAACTTAAATAGAAAAACTCAAACCACGAAAAATCTAATTTAAGCGTGAACACACTATAACTTTTTTCTGAAAAAAGACTTAAAAGCAACACACCAAAAAAGCGTCTTCTTTTGTTAACTAAGACTTAAGCAAATAATATTGACAATTAAGCAAATAATATTAACTAACACTTGAGCAAATAAATTTGGCTGAAATAGTTTTCAGCCCCGCATCTTCAATAATTTCCGAGAAGCCGAACGATACGCGAAGAAAATAATTATTGCAGCTTCTTTCACCGATGATTGTGGTGTATTAGCCTGGTTTTAGGACGCTCCTGATTTTCAGTGAATGCCAAACGAAGCGTGCAGTAAGAGTAGCCAATTTTGTTCAACAAGGCTCATCGTTTTACAAGAAAAATAACTTGTCCAATTTTCTTCTTACAATTATTTGTTTTCAGGCAATTCCATTGTGCGCAGTTAATAAATTTACAAACCACACCAACAATTTTACTGCCTAGGAGAGCACCATTGGACCTACAGGTCCGTTCACAGGGGTCTCAGAGCGGAAACTTATTTAGTAAGTTTTTGATACTTGGTGAGAAATAAATTCTCAAAATTTGAAATTAAAAATTAAATTATATTGGTTCTCGCTTAAAAAACCAGAAGTAAAATTTACTAGAAAAATACACAAAAGATCATGGATCTTACTCAACTAATAGAAAATATATCTTAAGAGGTCTTCGTTATCTAGGATGTAGCAGTCTAAAAAATTACGATTGAAAAAATTTACTTTGAGGGAGGAAGAGTTTTTATGTTTTCAAAAAAATTAGGATGATAATTTAGGATTTTTAACATTTTTTTAAGAACAACAAAAACTGACTCCTTTGAGTATTTTTGTTTACTCTTGTTGGTAGTCTTCTGGCTGTAATGAACATCTCGGAAAAATTGTTCACTTCATTATTCGTAATGAGCTCGTTCAAAATTTGAATAAGGCTTTCGCATCTGAGAACTTTGGACACTGTTGCCAATAGTTCATACAAATGGAGCTCCTTGGCATAAAACAAAATATTTTTCAATCTTTTATTTTGGATTTATTAGTATTTACCTGCTTTTAAAATAGTTTTGAACAAGCGAATTGGAAAGACTATTTTGGTCTTCTTCTTGGATGCGCAAGCCAAAACGCCCTGCTGTAAATAGGTTGCACTAAAGTTTTATAAATTCTTCCTAAATGCTGGGTTGAAATCAACGTGTTTATCGAAGTTCAGCTGTTCATCTATACAAATTCCATGATATCGAAAAAACTTATCTCGCTTAATTGGCTGACAAATTAGGTGAACAGTTTGTGGATTTAATTTTTTCCGGTTTGTTTCGCTAAAATTAATGGTTTTTGTTTTCTCTGCATTTAGTGTAAGCTTATTTTGTTTTAACCACTCTGATGTTTTCTTCAAAGCAGCCTGGCGTTCAGCATGCACAGTTTTCATCTGTGTACATGTCTTAATTACAGTTTCATTTGCGTATAGTATAGATTTTGAGTTTTTCTGGTTAGAGTCGATATCATTGATGAAAAAATGAAAGGCAGTAAATCAAGAATATACCCTTGAACTCCAAAGCAAACTTCTCTTAATTTTGTATTTGCCTTTTAGTGGCTACATACTGCTTCCTATGAGTCAAATAAGATCTTAACTGACTAATTGGTTCTCTTAGTCTATACGACTCGCGAGTAAGTGATCTGCTGTATCAAAAGCTTTTTTCAAACCTATGAAAGTGCAATGTGATTAATTTTGCTTGATCGTAAAAAGTGTCTTAAATTTTCAATCGGTGAAACGATTGCGTCAACTGTTCCCTGACATGATCGGAATCGAAATTGATTTTTCTTAAATAGGTAAGTCAAATTTATTGAAATAAGCTATCATGCTGTTGTATATAAGTTTTTAAAGGAGTTTACCTTAGGGTCAAAAATTTTAAGGCTCTGCTTGATTACCCTCTTTATAGACTGGAATCAGTTTGGCCAATTTAATGCAATCAGGAAAAATGGCATTATCAATGCAGTATTGGAACAAGTTTGTTTATTTAGTGCAATAGCCTATTTACCATTTTTTAAAAAGTAGTTATATAAATTACAAAAATCTGTGTTGAATTTTCCTTTGATCGAAGCTAACACTTTGAAAACTTTCCCTTAGCTAATTGTTATCAGATATATTGAATGTATGTGTTTTTCAATTGCTTAGCTGCTTTAGAAGATGGCAGAAATGCTTTTAAAGTCTATCAAATACTCAAGTTGTGTTTGTAAAAATGTGAATGCAGTATGAAGAAGAAAGCAAGGAAAAATTACTCATTTTCAACGTCACACTCGTTTGTTTCGCTCTTTGCGAGTGGGCTTGTAATTGATTTAGCAAAGAAGCTGCTCCTGATTGACATTTTTTTCGAAACCATCCCCTTTCAAGAAAACAATGAACCCTGCTATTGGGTCGAACCCCGTCAAGCCAAAACAATACTGTTGTCATAAAAATTACTAAACTATAAAGTTTTGATTCTCAAAGTTTTTACAGACCCATACCCATGAATCTTAATTTGCTTTGCCTTAGAAAGCCAGCAAAATAAGATGGCTAAATATATAAAATGATAAACGATATAACAAAAACCGAAAAAAAATTTCAAGAAAATTGATTTAAAAAAAATTGAAAACGATTTTTTTATCAGATTCAGGGCGTTCGGCCTAATTTCCGTCGGCTGATTTTCCGTTCTTTTTTAAATGCAATTTTGATTATTTGGTATGCTTTATGGAAGCCTTTTTTCAAAGAAGGGGTTTTAATTTAATTAAAACCGTTTATTGTTCATACTAATTTAAAGTTGTTTTGTAATTTCTAAAAATTCTGATTTTCATATTTTTTTCTTTCAAATTTTTTCGGCATATGTTATATTGCTGTAGTCATCTTGTATTGCGTTTTTTTGAAAATTTTGTATGCGTTTGTGAGATTCAGGGAGATGGGTCGTAAGAACTTTTTTCAAAACTTTATAGCTATAGATATAACATAGATAACAAAAATTTATAGATATAACATGAGCCGAAAAAACGGTTTAAGCGGTTTAAATTTAAATAAATCTACTTCTTTGAAATTTAGCTGCTAACGATAGCCACGAATCCAAAAAAAAATCAGTTGAAAACTTTTTGAAAAAATTATTTAGTTATTCCAATCAACTTCAAGATAGTTCTATTTGAATTCTCAGTTAAAGTACAGTATTTTGTGAGACCAGTATTTTCTGCAGCAGTAGTATTATCTGCAACAGTAATTTAAAAGAAACGCTGTTTACGAGCAAAAATTGTAAGTCTCGATAACAAGTATACTTGCTCTCGCAAATGAAATCCTTCAAATTTTGGGAGACGAAAAAATTAGAAATCCGACGTTTCCAAATTTCACTCAACACACAGCACAAATCGAAAAATTGTTATTGCTTTTTACATGATACAATACGAGACGACTAAGCTGATATAACATTGGAGATGATTGAAGAACCTTTTAAACCGACTATAAACTTTGATCTAAACAAGTTAGTGGTTTATAACCACCAACGATCACAAATTTTGGATAGAAATGGAATTTGAAAATGCTGACGTGCTCAACATCTGTTTGCTGCAGTTAACTTCTAAAAGACGCCTCCATGAGTCCCCTGAAAATTGTTCACGGGGAAAAATCTAGCACTCGTTTGCAACGCATTTGCCATCTTAAGTGTAATTAAAATCAAGTGGATAAAAATGACAAACATAGCCACCAGATAGTTGAAAAAGAGTCAATGAACGCAAGCAAACAGAAAAAACATGGACTTGTTTTTTTTGAAAAATCTGTTTTCAAATTTCAAATAAAAAAATAGAGGGCTATAAAACTCTTCGAATTTCTGGAACAACTTATGATTGGCACTTAATTGATCAAAAATAACCCAATTTGAGAAAAGTGAATAATTAGGTCGAATTTTTATTTCGCTATGAAATCTGAACATTAAATTCCTTTTTCGAAACTATAAGTCGATCACATTTTCGAGACCTTTAAACTTTAGCTGTTCGATAGTGGTTTGCCGTGCCGTCCTAAAAAAAATCAAATTGCGAAAATTTTTTATGATCATGAACAAATTTTATGACTTCTCCTGAAAAAAAATCATAGCGACCTATATAGCACTACGTAAATCGACTCTTAATAATTAAAAAGATATGGATGATTATTGCTCTGGGCATCTGGGACAAGCCATCTTTTTTTTTACTTTACAGCAAGCGTTATGGTACTTGAGCGCATTTTCGGCTCCTTTTACGCTTTAGTTCCAAATTTTTAATTAATTCTGGAAATCATTTGCCAACTTTGTCTCAATTTCGATTATATAGAAAAGCGGATAAAATTGAAGCTGAAAAAAAACATAGAAAGCGGCATCTCTTATCAAATGCTTGTTACGATTAAGTATTTAATCGAAACCTTACATCAAACTCTTCAAATACCACATTGACTTAAAAAATTATACTTTTGGCGTACAAAGAAAAACATCCTTGAAATGCACTGTTTCAGGGACTAATTTGACTAAGCTGCTATCCGCTCAGATAAGCGTTAAAACAGCGAACATATCTAGATTAACGTTCAAATAATTTTAACAAAAATAAACAAGGATGGCCGGTTGCTATGTAATTAGCAAAAAAAAATTCCAACTAGAATGATTGATTTTCTGAACTCAAAGTAATTCTTATTTGGTCCTTAAACATCCGTTTTTTTATCAGTGAAAGGTGATTCAAATATTTATTAAAAAACTGCGAAAATGTTTTTAATCTACAAACTGCTAAAATGAGATGTCATAATGGCAAAAGTAATGTTTAAATTGCAGCAGAATTAAATTGACGTTTCAGTCTCTCGTCGTGTCATTTGTAAAATTTGTGTCATTAGGGAAATTTGTAGACTGAGAACCGAAACATGCAGACTAATTTTTTTGAAGACCAACTCGATTCACGCGTTACGCGAATTGAATATGATGTCACACTGGGACCTACGACTTTTCCTTAAATATCTACAAATTGCCGAAAAAAAACCTACGACTTGGTTTTTTCCCACTTCGCGAAGTGGCCGGAACAATAAAAGCTGAAGGCTCATCAGCATACACCCAAATACAACCACCAGCTCGCTGTTTAGGATTCGATCTCATCGACGTCCGTCCAGCTGTTGTTGTTTGAATTGGATGGAAAATGGTTTGTCGAACTCTCGAATTATTTTGACACGCAAGAAAAATGGCTGATTCCTAAAAAGCGCAAAAAAGGCAGAAGTCGTTTTAAAAGGGGACAGAAAAGACAAAGAAAACAAAAAACTAATGAAAGTTGAACATAGCCAACGGACAGTTTGATGGCCAATTGAGAAAACTGGATAAAATTTATCCGGAAAAAATTCTAACCTAATTTAAGTGCCATTCTCCTCAGAACACACACCCACACCCAAAAAAACTTTTTCCGGTCATCAAACGACGCAATAAGAGGCCACTAGGTCGATATAAAAACCTAGCCAACAGACAGTAGGAAAAGAGTCATTAGACGCAAGTAAACAGATAAAAAAACACGGGCTTACTTTTTGAAAAAATCTCACCTTTCAAATTTCAAAAAAGTAGACGGTGTTAAAGCTTTTTGAACTTCTTTTGGTAAAAGGAAGGCAAACTCCACTGTCGAATGTAAAAATCACAAAAAACGTGACCAATTTTTAATTTTGAAAATGGAATTTAATTATCAGATTTCCCAGCGAAGTTAAAATTTAATTATCGATCCAGTTTTCTAATTGGGTTAATTTTATCAAAAAAGTATCAAACATAAATTTTTCTAAAGAAATGAACTGAACTAAAAAGAAATCAATAGTCAAACCTCGGAAAAGTAAACTTGAGCGTGAACAAATTTTATTACTTTTCCTAAAAAAAACATCATCGCGACCTATATAAGAGTCTGAACTATGTTCATCGACTCTTAATAATCCGGAACCTATTCAACCGAAAGAAAGACACGCTCAAGAAAAACAAACAATTTTTTTTAAAAAAATGAAAACTTAACAAATCGAGTAGATAAAATTACAACCAACATAAGAAGCAAATTTCGATCAGGTAGATACGTAGATACTTAAAAGGCGAATACGCTCAAAATATTTCTGTTGCAAGAGAAACGCCAACAAGATGAATGGGTCCAGGAGATGAGTCTTGTGAAGAAAGTTATTTACGGCTAAAAGTCTAGTAAACAATTACAAAACCATTGATTATCGCAAGGGTAATTAAAAAGTGAAAAAGCAACAAGACCCAAATAAGCGCCTTCCTTATGTTCAATGACACTTAAAAAGTAGATTGACTGACAAAATATTGCCTACGTATCAATATATTTCCATTCGATAATACTCTCCAAACAGTTGTCAAAATTTCAGCCAAGCATCTTCAATAGTTGCAGAGAAAATACGCGAAAAAAACTAATTGTCGCAGCTTCTTTCGCCAATGGTTGTAGTGTATAATCCAGATTTCAGTAGAGAAATCTGAAGAAAACCGCAAAAGTATCAAATCAGCGTGCTCAAGACTTTTTTATTGAAAAAACGCACGACCTTAATAAGTGTCGTCACTCCGTTCGTTGACACTTACCACTTTAACAGTTTTATTAATTTTCAAAAAAATACGGCTCTTTACTGGCGTAATTGCTGAGCGACGATGACCTTCTATCTAAATTGATCTGAATAACCACAAAATCAGAATAGCCATAAAATCTCTTCTCTCGACGGACTACTTTTTGGAATCCAAAATCACGAATATTTACCCCAAACTTTCCATACTGTAGTCATTTTTCATACTGTAGTCATCGAACAAAATCAAGTCATTTATTTGTTTGCAATCGTACAACCTAACGATTATATCTTCTTGGAACTATTCAATCATCACTCTTTAGAATTTTTTTTGTCGTTGAAACAACCTCGTAAACTGCAGAGACCATAACACTGTTAGCAGTAATTTTTGGAACGCTAATATCAGGCCTAAAAATTCTCTTCAACTCTACTTTCTGTTGTTTTTGCGCTATATCAGGGAAGTTTTAGTTCATCAGATTCTCAAAAAAAAACATTTTTGAGTCAATAATTTTGAGCTCCTTGTGCTGTTTACGAGAATATTTCATTTAAAAAAACAGCAATGATTGACTGGCCAAAACAGCGCTCAAATCTTGTTCACGCCCAACCCTTTTGAATTGTTTCATCATCACCTGTCAAAATCAATCATCTGAGGAAACTTCAAAACCGTAAAGAAAAAAATCGTTCATTTTCTCGGTTAAGAAGAAAAAGTTGCAAATTCTTTGTCCCGTGACTGGCAAAAAAAAGATGATCCACACCGAACAGATTTTGATACTTTATATGTGATTGCGCAATACCTCGTTTGTCGTAGAAGTCATTTGCTGCATCTTGTACATTGCTGATGTAAATTGTCGGGGTTGTACTGCTTGGGATTGGGGAGCAACTTCCTTTCTCTGCGAAATAAGAATCACCACATAGCCGATCGGAATATATTATAACTTGCGTGGATTAATGATTACAACTGAACTTAATCAACCCCTTCGGGTCATTTAAAACTGGGAAAATTAAACAAAAGTTCTTGTTGATTATCTGTTCTGGTTGATTTCGATATCTGATGGTTTACATTCAAGGATACTTACATTCATTTTTTTGTGATCTGCATTGCCGACTTGAGCTGAGCTGAAGTGCGACTTTGCCTGGCTGCTTATCCATGGAGAGTCATTAGAAGACCCATGCACCCCGGCGTCAGACGACGCTGTTGAGAAGTCCTTCGACATTGTGGCCATCGGCAGACTGGGAACTAGCTGGTTGTCCTGCAGAATCAAAGTAGTCTGCAAGGGCTTACTCCACGCATTGGCCGATCTCGCGGGCGGAGGCGTGGTCGGCATCGAGGTTTTCCCTGACGATGCGGGATCAGACTGCACTGCATGTTCATGTTGCTGGTCGTTTCCAGACCGGGCGAATTGTCTTTGAAGAGACTCGAAATTCTGGATATTCCTCATAGTACTGTGGTCGTCTTTACTATTAGGCGTGCCACTTTTTCCTCGCGATGGTCGTTCGTCAGCGCCAGTTACTGACCCTTTCTTGGGCTTTTCATGGCCACCTTTGGACGACCTTTTACTAATGCCTCCTTTAACCCTAGGTGACTTTTCCTTTCCCCCCTGTTGACTAGTAGGGGAAGCAGATTTCTTACTAGCTGCCGCTTTCTGGGCCTTGGATCTTTTGGAAATCACTTCTTGAAATGATTCGTCAGCGCAATCATCATCGGATGCGATGTTTGGACGTAAATTTTGCTGATCCTCAATCACTACGATTCCAGACATCCTGTTCACGTCATATTGCGAGAACTCTGGACCCCTTCGCCTCGGAGGCCCCGCTGATGCCGGAGCTTTTTCCTCCGGTTTGTCACCCTCCTTTTTGCTCTTCATCAGTTTCGAATCGGAGCTGTATTTTGACGCAGTATCTGCCGAATGCTTATCTCGTCCCCTGTCCGCCAAAGGGCGCTGGCTTGAAAACGACTTCTTTGAAGGAGCCGAACTCTTGCCATAGCGCTGTTCGTTGTTTCTTGAGTGTGTTGGAATTGACGTCTGCGTCGTGTGTGATCTGTCAGTACCAGCGACGGGGACTTTATCGTTTTTTGAATCTCGTTTATCAAAATCTGAACTCTCGGAGGCTGTTTCCCATTCCTCTTGGTTCATTTGATCGGCAGAACCAGTTGGAAACCTCTCATTTGTTGAGTCAAAGTTCTTCATTGACGGAGAAGGCTCACCTCTACTCGCCCGAGGAACTCCAGGGCGCCGTCGTTCTTTTCCCATTCCCCTTCTTGATCCGGTTGCACTAACCACAGACGCCGTTTTACCGCCTCTTGTCGTCAATTTTCGGGACGACGCTGCTTGCGTAGCGGACATAGTGTAGAAAGAATTCGGATTTCGAGAGTAATCGTTCGATGATCTGTAATTCATATATCCTTGGCCATACCCATAGTCATACTCCTGGTAGTTGCCCGAGTAGTAATAATCCCACTCCGATCCATAGTAGTACATTGAGTCATAATAATTTGACCTGGAAGATTGTTTTCCGACAGCACTCGGAGCCACGCCCCCTACACTGCCACCTCTTCGACAACTTCCGCCCCTAGAAGCTCGGACCGCAGCGTTTGATTTGATCTCCCATGTTGCACCCGCCGATCCACCTCTGGTCTTCGCTCCTGAAGATCTCAGGGTTCCTTTTCCTTGACGTCTGGACTGCTCGTTTTCCGATAAGTCCTCGTTTCCAGCTTCTACTCCGCTCGAATCGACATTCGAGTTGACTGAATGTGAGATAGCGGCTTCTTTTTTGGGCTCTGAATTCTCTTTGAACTCCTCGGCATCTTCACTTTTCAGCGAAGTTGAAGTTGCCGATGATGTTTTTATAGTCAGAGGCTCCTTCAGATTAGCAGCGATGTCAGCTCTATTTGGATCAGAGAACAAAGTAGATGCTGCATTTTGTGCATTCCAGTCCACCACTGACGAAACCAGCGGCGGTTTGCTGCTCGTGTTACTCACAGATGAATTTTCAGCTGCACTGTCTGTTGTGGAAACCATGGAAACCGGGTCACTTTGAGTCAGAGATTCCGACTTTTTATCATCACTGCCTTTCAAATGTTGTTGGGACAAATAGTTTTTTGAAGTTGAAAATTCTTTCACTTCGTGTCTGTTATCACGCTCATTTTGCATTTGAGCGCTGTCAAAACTTCCGCCTGAGCCGGACATCAATCGACGTCCAGCAGGGTTGTTTCGGTTGCCACGGGAAGCGACGGCGGATGAAGAGAACCTTTTGCCATACCTCTCATTATTATCGCTTCGCCGTGAACCTGACCCTAAAAAATCCTGCTCTAGTTTTTGTCGGTTGTTTTCGCTCAGATCGTCATATCGGATCTCCAAAGACATCAAGTCTTTGACTTCAATGTCACTTGGCTCTTTCTTCTCGTAATGCTGGAACTTAATCGGAGATCCCTTCTCCTCGCGGCTTCTAGCTGGTGGAGGTGGCGGTGGATCATAGGGATATTCATCCTCATCCCCAAAATCCTGACCAGCATTTGGTCTTGAGGGATTAGTATATTCACGATCTCGTGCCCGAATCGAATGCGGAGGACCCTGACGGGAGAATCCCAAACCCCGACCGCCCCTTCTCACTTCCATAGCACGAGACTGGTTTGCAGGTGACCTTCCGAAATGATCACCGATAGGCGACGTCAGTTCTTTAATTGGACCCGACGGAGGTGCTTCTTTGTCTCTTGTGGGCTGTCGTTGCTTTCGGTATCCATAACCTTCATCATCAAAATCATCGTACATATTCGACCGCCGATCTTGAGTTTGGTAATTCGTCCTGTAATCCCTGCTATCACGATTTCGGTCATTTCGACTATCTTGGTAGTTCGTATTATATCCACTCCTTTGTTTCTCCTTCGACTGAAAACTTTGTGGATGTTTCTGACTCTCGTAATCCCTTTCATCGTCTCCCCATTGAGACTCGACTCTGTCGTATTTGGACAAATGACTGGCACCTGAGTCCTGTTGCCTCTTAGATGTGAATCTAGCTGGTGCTGGATTTTCTTTATCTTTCCCCTCATTGTTGCTTGAATCCCCCTCATCGTTCTTGGGTGTGTGGAATAGACTAGCTGCTGAAATTGCCTTTTGTTCTTTGCCCTTGTCTTTTGGACGTTCTAATATTTTAACTGGCTCGTCTGCTGGTTTCTCACTGGGATCTGGTTGGCTGCTATCCGTCAGTTGGACCTTCTTAGTTCTTTGGACTCTTCTGGTTTTCACCTCTTCTTTCGGGGGCGGTGGCGAGTAGGAGTTATCAATTATCGGCGAAGATGTGCGTTGTGTCTGGTTAACTGTTGCGTTTGTCTGGGTTTGCGCTTTCGAGGTCTTTCCTGGAGGCGCCAAAATAGACATGGGGGATTCCGCGATCGATGCAGCTCCTTCGGGAGGTGGTCGAGGTATGGTCTCACTTCCCGTAGAAGTGTTCGGTAGATCAGTCGAGGGCAGCGCCATTGGCGGGGCTGGGAAGGGCGGCTGCATGGGGAAAGGGAATCGGGCGGCCATTAGCATCTGCTGATACTGGACCCACATTTGATTGTTAAACTGCTGTTGAGCCATCTGGTTCATCAACTGGGGAGGAGGCGGTGGAGGAGGGAAAAACATGGGCGGGGCAGTGGTAGGGACAGGCGGGTTCTTCATCATTGCAGACGGATCCGGTGCCTAAAAAATATGTACTCTTTAAGACCATTGGAAAACAATAATCGTACGCTTAATAAATTTAATTTCTCTTCAACATTTACTTGGCTTCATTATTTCAGAAAAATCCTTTGCATAAATAATATTCACGCTTGACCAATAATCGATAACATTTTAAACGAAGGCTAAAAATCAAAGTCTTAATCAAATTGATTCGCTCTCTTGAACAACGCGATCAAATAATAATCCTTTCACAACCCTTCAAAATCATTAAGAGTTTCAGAAGTATACCTTGAATTGCATTTGCACTCGCATGGCATCTGCTTTCCCACTTCCATTCGATCCCTCAGAGTCGTATCTGTTGCGAGGAGGCGCTTGAGCATTATTCGATCTGTTGCTATTACTTCCATTGAAACTTCCACTAGCATTGTTGTCATATCGCCCCATTGAGTTTGATCCATTTCCAGTCGCATTCTGCAGACTTTTGTCTGGGTTGTTGTATCGTCCGTCGTCTCGTTTGGAGCTTCGGTGACTAAGCTCAGAACCACGGAAAAATTGTCTGAAATGTGGATTAATTTCTTAGATGATTTGCTTCATTTTTTTTTTCATTTTAACTGCATCTCTCATTCATTAAGAAAAAGCTTTAAAAAAAGGTTACTCAGTGTTTTGAATCATACCACTTTCAAAACACGAAAGCCGCTAAGTCGAAAAAAAATTCAAAAACTTCGAAATAGATCTATCGATAAGGCTAGGTTTGAAACAACAACGCCGGAAATACCTTAGGAGAAACCAGTCCAAATTTTTTTTTTTAAAATCATCAATTCCCCACACCCTTAAAAAACACACACACACACATACACAAACTTTATTCACGTGTCAAATGAAACAATATGCGGCCGCTATGCCGATAAAGTATTGGCCGAAACCTATTAAGCCGAAAAAAGGGGAAAAAACAAAGCCGAAAAAAATTATGACTACTAAAAAGTTACGAATTCCCCACAGCCTCAAAACACATACACAGCTCGTGAAACGACGCAATACGTGGCGACTAAGCCGATGTAATATGGGCCAAAATCTATCAAGCCGAAAAAAAAGGAAAAGAAAAACAAAAAAGCCAACAAAAATTGTTGTCATGAAAAACTTGAACAATAATTTCTATTAAGATTTTCAGCACTTTTTGTGATCTAAAGGTGACATAAAAACTATGCTTCTCTTGAAACCACGCTAATTTAGGCCACTTAGTTTATATACAATAGGCCCGAGCCTATTAAGCTGGAAAAAAGGACAAAATAAAATTTTAACAAATCGAGTTGGAAAAATCACAATAATCATAAAATCTATCAAAAGCAAGCAATGTTTAGTTTGCAAATTTGAACAAGGATTGCCGGGTTACTATGCAAATAGCGCGCAGAATTCAACCTTAAAAACACTTTTTCAAATTAGTGTCGTTTTTTTTGTGTAGTGTGATGGTAAGATCTTAGCGAAAAAATAGAAATGAGGTATATTCGACAGTCATAGTGAAATAGGCGAATTGGAAAACAGTTTCTGTAGAAAAAGGACTAGAAAAATGAAAAAAAATCGTAAAAAAATCCTATTTGCTCAAATCTTATTAGCTCGAAATTGGACCAAAAACTTCAAATCGGATTTTTCTCGACACTGAGAAAATTGTTCAAAAGGTTTTAATGTTCGAATTACAACTGAAAGGGCTTTTATATGATCTATAACTCGACCCACGCCAAAGATTATTTGTGGTACCTGATTTTGCGTGGAAAACAAGAGTGGTAACTTACGGCTTTTCGTCATCTCTTCCTGGCTTCTTTTCATAGTCCTGGTTCCCGATGTACGATCTATTTCGTTCCATCTGAATCTTCGCCTCATGGCTTTGGAAATTATTGTTTCCGGATTGCGCTGTCGAAAAAGTCTTATTAGAGGGCGGGAAGGGAGGGTTGGAGGGAGCAGGGTATCCGGTAGCGGTCGATCCACTTCGGTTGTTGAAGTCGGGTCCTCTTCGGTTGTCATATTCTTGTCTTGAACCAGGAGCATTTTTAGAACCACCGCTAGTTTGCAAATCATTTCTGTTTCGTTGTTCGTAATGCTGTGCACCCGATGATCTCTGGTCGTAGAAAGAGTTGCTTCGACGCTGTTGGTTGTCACCGCGGTCGGATGCTCCGCGGTCAGTACTCGATTGAAAAAACGAGTCACTCCTGCGCATGTTGTTTGTGCTATATTTATTGTCCGAGCCCCTAGTTGAAGAAGAACGGAAGAACTCCCCATCTCGTCGCTCGCCCTTGAAAAGCAAAAAAAATGAAGTCCCTAAACACCTCTCGCACGTCTGAGAACAAAGTTTTGAACAGTGAACAAAGTTTTGAGCAAAAAGAATGTGTAGTTTCAATTCCTTGCTAACATAACCCCGCAAGGTTAAAAACGAATAATGTAATCCAATTTGGAAGTCATGTAAAACGAATTTTTGGAAAACACTGAGTTCGCACTTATCTGTACTTTAAGAGATAAATTTTAGTTTGAAGTTAATTACAGTATAAAACAAGTCGATTGCAAAACACTTGCTTATGGGAAGGGTAAGAAGAGAGGCAAAGCTGAGCTTCGCACCACTTACGATACAAATATGAATGACTATCATTAAAATGAAACGGAATAATGAAGAAAAAATCGCTGTTTTCAATAAACCAGAAGAAAAACCACATATTGGAAATAAGATCTGCATCCTTTGAGTGTACTCTGACAGCAGCCAATTACAGGGTTCATCAAAATTTGCACAGTCTTTTATTGAAGTTTTTTAATACAAAATTTGAAAAACCATAAAATTTTGTGAAGTTTTATATAAGTTCTCAGAAAAAATTTAATATGAACTTTAATAGTCACATCTCGGAAACTAAAACCAATTGAGCAGTCGCATTTGGACGCAAGATTAGCCACTACTGAGAGTACTCTTACAGTACCCAACTACAACATTGAGAAATGCGAATTTCGAGAAACTTCAAACTTTAGTTTTCCTAAAAATATGTTTTTTGTGCGTGTAAGCCAGATAAAACGTCTAATCCCGTTAACTACCAAGAATTGAGCAGTGTTATTTGAAACCAATATTCGCAATCTTTGACAGTACTCTGAGAGCATCCAATTACATGGTTCGTAATTACACATTTTGCACAGTTTTTTATTCAAATTTTTTTGAAAACCATAAAATTTTGGGAAACTTAAAGCAAATAAGTAGTTGCATTTGGACGCAAGATTTACAACTACTGAGAGAACTCTCAAGTACCCAACTACAACTTCAGTTTTCTTAAGATATTTTTTGAAAATCAGATAAAACGTCACATCTCCAAAACTAACAAGATTTGAGCAGTCTTATTTGAAGGCAAATTTCGCAATCCTTGAAAGTACTCTGACAGCACACAACCACAAGGTTGGGAATTTCAATTTTGTGAAATATTTGGTAATTTGAGTTTTCTAAAAATTTCTGAAAAGTCACAAAATCGTCTTATCTCGTAAAATAAAAAGATTTAGGCATTCTTAATTGGGGGTCAAACTCCAAACCCGTAAGATTACTCTGACAGCCCCCAACTACAGGTCAAGAATTTCAAATTTTGAAAAAAAAGTTTTATTTCAAGTTTTCGGACATAAGAACGTCATATATGAAGAATAACAAGATTTGAGCACTCACACATAGGAGGCAAGATTTATAACCTCTGAGAAACATAAAATATTCTGACAGCTCCCACCGCAGAGTTTGGAACTTGAATTCTTATGAAAAAAAAATGAATTTAAGTTTTCTGAAAATTTTGGAAAAAATCGTAAAAAACGTCATAGCTCGAAAACTACAATAATTTTAGAAATAAGATTTTGAGGCAAGATTCGCAACTTCTGAGAGTACTCTGACACGGCCTCGCTATAGAGATGGGACCTTAAATTTTGTGAAATTTTTATCTCTAAGTTCTCGTGAAAAATTCCTAAAAAACTACAAGGATTTGAGCACTCGAATTCAGAGGCAAGATTTGAAATCCACCAACAGAATTGAAATCTTCAAAGTTTTTTTTAAAATCTAAGTTCCCGTGAAAAATTTTAAAAAACTCATAACAAAACGTCATATCTCGAAAACTACCTGAGAGCACCCAACTACACGGTGAAAGTTTCAAAAAATGAGAAATTTTTTAAAATTAAATTTTCTAGAAATTTTTGAAAAATCTCAAAAATTGCCGTATCTCGTATACTAAAAGGATTTGGTAATTCATATATGAAGGCCAGAACCAGAGCTAGGAAAACCCTGACAGAATCCGACTTTTGGGTTGCTTATTTCAAACTTGATGAAATAACCATTGAATTTAAACTGGAAAATGGGAAAAATTCTTAACCAATGCAATATACAATATAGCTTAAGCGTGCAAAAATTCTTTTTGTTATTAAACATGCAAAAATACGTTGAAAAAGCTTAACCATGGCGAGATAGTAAAGCCCGCAATTAAATACATAATAGATTGCTAAAAAAGTCCAAAATATCCAGAACCAAATTGACTACATCATTACTTTGGGATAGTAGAAAAAAACCGGATTTTCAAACACACAGGTGAAACGGAGTTTTGCAACACTTTCGATGCAAAAATCGCATTGCTCTATAAAATAGTGAATGCAAAAATGACAGAAGTCAAAATTCCATAAGTTTTTTCCAAACAAATTTTCAAAATTTCTGACTTTTGTCATTTTTGCATTCACTATATTTATATCAGATAAAGTTCATAAACAGTCATTAAAAATGGAAATAATTTACCATTGAACACATAATCCCAAACAATTATAATAAAAACTGTTCAATTTGGAACAGTATCCATGCTTTAAAAAGTAAACAAAAAAACACTAACAGATAAAAAAAATGAATGGCGTTTGAAAAATTGAAAATTGAACCGATAGAAACTAGGACGAAAACCAGGAACCCGAAAAATGAGAATCTTCTCTTGAAAAGATAATTACAACCTGAAACAGGCTTGAACTAACTACTAGCTCAGTGATGGAATTTTCAGGAAATTGAGCATGTCAGATGAAAGATCCTCTAGAAATGAAGATTCTGTAGACAATGTTGGTTGCGGGAAAAAAGTCTAGTAATCGATTGCACTACCCTTTTTTTCGCAAGTGCAAAAAAAATAATTTCTGCTGAGCTAAGCCGACCGACAATTATCCAAATTAGCCGAAAATTTTCTGTTTGCAAAAAAAAACAGGTCTCGACTGGAGCCAAACTGTCGGGCATCATCGTCAAGCATGGGGCTTACAGCAAGTTGGAAGAAAGCTGAAACTTCAAAAAAAAGTCGGGGTACAGGAACTCAGCCGACAAACAAACAGGGACGATAGCCCGAAGAAGCACAAAAAACCTAATTTGCAAAAAAAAACACAGATCCAGGCCGGATTCGAACCGCAACCTTTTGCGGTCTCAAGCACTTGCGTTAGCTCTCCGCTAGATGCACCGGATGATTAATTGAAATTATTATTAACAAGCGGTAACAAAGCTAAAAAAAAATAAGCAGAAACATTCAATGCCAAAAAAATTCAAATTAATGAAAAAATTCTATGTTGTTTCTCCTCGCAGATCACACACCCGCACACGAAATTTTTTTTCGATCCCCATACGACGCAATAAGAGGCCACAAGGTTAATATTAATTAAGCAAATACATTGAGCCAATAAAAGAAAAAAATGAAATCCGTAAATTAAAACCCGATGAAAAAAAAACAAATTTCAATTCAGCCGGAATTTCTAAATGCAAAAACACTTGAAGCAATTATAGTGCAAATTGTTTACAGCGACAAAAAAACGATTCTTAATTGTAGCAACTACACAGACAAAACATAAGCAGACAAATAATAGGCCGAAATTTTTTTTTGAAACGGAACTTTTTTGAACCCAGGACCTTTGCCGTATCAGGCGTATTCGTTAGCTCCAGGCTAATTTGAATTCATTATGAAGCAAGGTACTACCAAGATTTTAGATGAGTCCTGTGAAAAACTTATGTACGGGAAAAAAGCCTAGTACCCGATTTTAAAACAGGACCTTTTGAACCCAGGACCCTTTTGAATTGTTCCACATTTTCGTGGCTTGTTTCATCTATTTCTTTCATATTGCAGTTTTATCTGTTCTCTTCAGTTCTTGTGATTTTTTGAGTTTGTGCTTTTAATCTGTACATTCCATTGCTTTTCAGATTTTACTGATTATAAATTTTTGTCGAAAACGTTTTATGCAACATTGATGTTTTTCCCAAGATTTTGAAACGATTGTCCTCGCAAGTGTAATAAAAAATAAATGAAATCTTACAGATTTTTCGTAGTCCTTGTGAGCAGCTCGCCTGCTCGCTTCACTTGATGTAAAGTTTCGTTGTTGTTTTCGCTCCTGTCTTTCAGTCGACCCCCCTGAGTCTGTTCCACCTTCCTCGTCGTCACTGAACACGATCTTCTTGTTGTAGTCGACTTCGCCAGAAGCGCCTAAAAAATCTTATTCAAATCATCTTATTCAAACGCAAAGGTCCTGTTGGCGAATGGTTTCACAGTAGAAGTCATTAACTTACCGGCCCATCCGTCCGCATCTTTATCAAGTTCCACTATTTTATCCAATTCTTTCGATTCCTTAATAACAGTTTGTCCTTTCCACTCTTCTCGCTTCCCAGTGCGAGACACTTGGCCGTTACCGGATGATCCGCCAGATTTTTGATTATTTGGGTCTTTGGGCTTCATAAACGATGGCTTCATGTCTGGATAATGACTGTACTCCGCATCCTGTTCTACTTCCGACGTTTTATAGGGTCTCTCTCGATCATCGTATTTTCCACTTGCACCTTGCTTCCAGCTCGGTCTATTGGGCTTTAGAGAAAATGAGGAAGAGTTGTTTTCAGGTGACTCGGGTTTGGTTCCAGCTGATAATGTAGGAAACTCATTTGGATTTGCTGTTCGAACAGGTCGGCTTGAAGAGCCCAACGCATTTGGATCAGACCATAATTTAGTACTAGCGTTTAAAAATCCTCCAGATTGAGAACTGGATCCCGCAATAGCGTCTCCTTTCCTGGTTCCTCCATTGTCCCCATCATCGGCCGATTTGGCCCAGCCACTTCCGTCTTTTGGTACTAATTGAACATCAGGATCTTCCCCAAAATTTTCGGTACGCTTTGACTCAATGTGCGGCTTGGGAATACGTCTTCCAGAAACTTTACCAAGACTGGCAAGCCCAGGTTTGGAATAGGGGACAGGCCCCTTTCCTGCTTGATCTAAACCCTGTTTACTCTTGAATGCAGTAGTCGTGATACTTTGAAACTTTTGTTTGGACCCGCGCACGTCGGGTTTGTAGGATCGGGCATTTTTATCGGACATACTTTACACGCAATCATCGGCGATATTGACTTAAAAACACATCAATATGAAACACTTATCTGAAAAAAATGTTAAAATAACGCAATGTTAAAATTCTAACCTAATAGACTCGGTGAAAAAAGTTTGATTTAATTCTCTAAATTTAGCCACAAACGAAACGCTTAAGGCAATTTTCATAATTTCCTTCTTCGGACAGTTTACGGACGCAATTTATCATGAGGTTTCAACGCTTATTGGACTTTGAATCGATCTACCCTCAAGACTGAGCTTACAAATTCAATGCAGTCATGTCTATATAATGACCAGAGGTATCGGGGAAGACTCGTACAAAACTCTAGCAGCAATCGCAAAGAGAATTGCCCTGGCGACGGGAGAAAAGAGATCGTTCGCCTTCCTAAAACAGCGTATCGGCATCGCCGTCCAACGAAGAAATGCTGCATGCGTTGCCGAGGCGCTCGAAATATCAAACTTCAACTCTTAATTTTTATTTTGTTTATACAAACGCTTTTTATAACATTGGTAATTTACCTCTTCTCCTTTTAAATGACCAGAGAACTCGATAAATTGACCAGGGAACTAGATATATCGGAGTAGGTCAATATCGAATATCGAAATCATGACAGTATCGATATATCGATATTCTTCGATATTTGACTTGAAATATAGAATATCGATATTTTGCTCAAAAAAGAATTCAACTAGTTTTTATTGCCACCGAACCACAAAAACCTTAGATATATTACAAAATATAATAAATATATTATAATTTCGAAGAAATTTGCAAATTTTTCATTCGCGAAAGTCAAAATTTAAAACACGAACAAATTATAAACATCGAAAACACCGACATATTTCACATTTTTATGGAAAATTCATTATTATGAAGAAGAAGAAAGAACACTTGAATTACTATACAATAAAAAGCCGAGGCATCAGTGTAGCAAAGTGTAAATAATAAAATTGGTTATAAATTCATTGGTTACATCAAACAAAAACAAAACATCAGAAAACAAGCAATAAACAAAACAAAAAAAAACAAAATCGGTTACAGTTCGGAAATTGGTTGATTAAAGTATATGAAGTTTCGGATACTATAGAAAATTAAAGATTTAAGAATTAGGAACAAGCTGGTAATAAAACTTTACAAACAATTTTACAGATAGTCCAATTATACAACGTATATGCAGAGTATATACAGTTTCTCTTTCAAGCAATGTGTGAAAAATTAAACTGAATTAAAAAATATAGAACTAGCAAAAACGGTAATCACGCCACGTATTTGTATTAGTACATATAGGATTGTTTCTCAATTCACTCACGTAAAATTCTTTCAATTTTTTCTTGAATTCTGTTTTCGATTTTTCTAAATTGCGCAAAATTATGGGCAGTGAATTCCATTTTTTAGAAGTCAAATGAAAAAATGATTTTTGTAGAGAAGCAGTCGAACAATGTTTGTCAAAAATAATTTGTTTCGTTCTTTCGTTGAGCCTATAATTGGCAGTCGGTAGTCTCAGTGTATTTTCAAAAGCCTTCTTTTTGTTTGTAAGATATTGGTATAAGTATGTTATACACTTTAACTCAATTCTTTTCTCGATTCCAATGAACGATTTGCTAATGCGAAGAAGGGAAGAAGATTTAAAATTCGATCTGAAATATGTTCTTTTTAGCGCCCAGTTCAACTGTTTCTCCAGAGATAGCATCAAAGTAGCATTAATTTGTTGTAAAAAAATTGCTGAATAATCTAAATGTGATAAAACAAGACAATGAAGCAAGGCAACTAATGATAATGTCGGCAGTTGTTGTCCAATTGTATCAATAGTTTTAATCCCTTGGGCCATTTTTTGGAGAATTGTTTTGATTTGAGCATGAAAAGATAAACTTGAATCAAGAATTATGCCTAAATATTTGCATTCTGATTTTTTGGCTACATAATGCCCACTAATTACTAGTTTATCAGTATCCACATTTTTGCTATCATTTTTTTGACAAAATGTTATAAATTCCGATTTAGATGCATTCAGATTCAATTGGTTCTCTGCAAAAAATTCCGTTAGATTATTGAGTGATTTTTGCAATCGATTCAAAGCATCCTCAGAAATTATAGAAGAGGAAAAAACCATACAGTCGTCAGCATATTGAACTAAAGTACAACCCTCATATAATCGCTCTTGTATGTCATTAACATAAATATTGAACAACAACGGACCAAGTACCGTTCCTTGTGGGACACCTCGTTTTATTTCAATCCAGTCTGAAAAAATTCCATTGACGTTTACTCTTTGAATACGTTTGTTTAGGAAGCTAGCAATTAAAGCATTTGCTCCATTTGAAAAACCGAGAGAAAGCATTTTTTCAATTAAAACTTCATGCGAAATAGAATCAAAAGCCTTGGACAGATCTAATAAAGCTGCATGTACGATTTTTTTTGAATCTATTTGATTTCGAATACTTTCTGTCACATAAACAAGAGCATCTTGTGTTGAAATGTTTTTGCGAAATCCGAATTGAAATGGTGTCATTATTTGAAATTTGTCAAGATGTTCTGTTATTTGGGCATGTAAAATTTTTTCAAAAATTTTAGAAAAAGCACAAGTTATTGATATTGGCCGATAATTTTTTGCATCCATTGGGTCATCTTTTTTGAACAAAGGGGTTACGTTTGCTTTTTTCAGTTCGATCGGGAAAATGTTCTCATCTAAGCAAGTATTTATGACAAAAGTTAAATGTGGAACTATAACTGATTGACCGTCAATGATTGCCCAAGCAGGTACGGTACAAGGTCCGAGAGGTTTTCCAACATTGATTTTTCGAACTATATCAAAGCATTGCTTCACTGTAATGTGTTGAAAATGAAAAGATGCAGATTCAGAGGCAGATTTGTTGTAATTCGGAGGCTTTTTAGCGCCGAAAAATTCGCCTAAGTTTGAAAAAATATAATTTAAATGATTGGCAATTTTTTTGTCTTGGGTTATCATTTCACTGAAGGAATTTCGTAGAACTGTAATTCGATGGTTGCCAGAACATGTACCTCTAACTTGGTTAATATATTTCCATTTTTGTTGGATAGTGCTGAGAAGTGAAAAACAATTTTTTGAATGATCGAATTGTTTACTTCTAATCAATTTGCTCATTTGATTACGTAAAAACTGGTACTTTGACCAATTATCGCTTGTGCTTTGACTGCGATATGATCTGAGTGAATTCTGTTTCTTAGTCAACAATTGCTGACATTCTGAATCGAACCATTCCGTTTTCAACACGTTTTTTGGTTTTAAATTACGAACAAACTTTTTTTCGATAGGAGCATGTTGCTGTAGAGCACAAGAAATTAAATAAATCATCGTCGAGAACATGTTTTGTGCGTCTGTACATTGATATAAGAGATACCAAGGAAGAGCGGAGAGTGAATTGCAAAATTCATTTTTCTGATAATTTTTCTTATTGAAAGTCGTAATTATCCTCGGTAAAATTTTGCCGCATTTTATATCCGTCAAAATAAATGAAGCAAAATGGTCGGTTTTATAAGGTGTATCAAAACAAAACTCAATGCCGTTTGTTTCATAGTCACTGATTATGTAGTCGATATGAGTTTTTGTTGAGGAACTAATTCTGGTCTCATCGTTTGGACAAAAAACCTTCAATCCATATGGAATAATTATAGAATCTAAATTTTCTTTTTCTTTGCTATCCAGATAATTTATGTTATAATCACCCAAAAGCGTAATTTTATTAGAAACTGAAAAAGCATTATCTATGTTAAGCGTTAATTGTTCCAAAAAATCAATAAAGTTTGATCTGCTTGGGTTATAACACAAATTAACTAACATTTTTTCTTTACTCGAAATGTTAAATGTAGATTTGCACTCAACCCACACTGTGGGTTGAGTGCACTCAACCCATTTGCACTCAACCCATATTTTTCGCACTCAATCGTGTGAAAAATATCAAAATCGACATTTATATAAAAAAAATGCCTTTAGTAGTAGTTGTAATATGAATTCTGTGGTTCAGACAAGGGGTTTGGACCCCGTGAGTTTCTCGTTTCATATAACAGTTCTGTTTCTGCAATTGTTCGTCGAACAAATCGCACGCTAGTTTCAAGTGCACTTGTCGCTCTCAATGTTTTGCTCGAATTTCGACCAGAAGATTTTTAGAAGTCGTTGTTTCAAGCCAATCCCTAGCGAGTCGACAGGTTTGATACATGGAATTCTGCTCGCATTTGGTTTTCCTTGGACGTCTCAGCTGAAACAAATTGGCGCGCAAGAACTCTGTGTAATATGTTATGTCTAGATTACATGCCTTATAACGTCCCAAAATCAATTTTGAAAGCAACAGCAAGTTGTTTAGCTGGTGGACATACAGTGGAAAAGGAAGAATCCCTAGTACTTTCAAATTTTCTTTGTTTGGGACACTATTAACGCAAATCTACTTTACTGCCCTTGGCTGAATCGTCTCTAATTCGGACATTACGTACTTTTTTAAACCAAAACACGGACTTGCGTAAAGAATCACGGGGATTATCATGGATTTGAATTAACTTAGTTTCGCTACTCTGTTTACATTCGACATATTTCTTTTGATCGCGAAAAACGTTTTATTTGCTTTTAAGCCTGCCTTGTCAATCTGTAGATTCCAGCTCATGTCATTTGAAATTATAACCCCCAGATCTTTGTGTGTCCACTAATTTAATTTCCGTTTTGTTGAAGCAAAACTTGTTTGAACTTTTAGTAAAGCTCACATGGGTGCATTTATCAACATTGAATTGCATTTTTTTTTCGACTATCCAGTTGTATATCACATTAAGTTCATTTTGAAGTTCTTCTTTAGCTAATCCTATGCTGATGAATTTTGCATCATCAGCGAAAAGTAAAGGTGTGAGATTTTGGCAAAGAGATGGCAAGGCATTAATAAAAAATTAACTCCGCTTGTTATGGGCTTTGGATCTGAGATTTCGCTATTCACTTTGACAGATTGGGACCTGTTTGATAGATAAGGTTTCAATAATTTGATCAAATTTCCACCTACTCCGATTTTGAAAAGCTTCATCAAGAGGAT